CCCATCATAACCTAACCTAGCCTAAAGAGCGAATGTAAAGATAGGAGACGAAAAATTAGAAGAAGTGTCTGATTTTCGGTATCTAAGAAGTCAGATAACTCAGGATGGAAGGAGCAGTAAAGATATAAAGCAGAGGATAGCGCGGAATCTTTCGCTTTCAAAAAAAAAAGTCGCTTCTGTGCTTGCGAACGGTTAATTTAGAAATCGAAAAAGATTGTTAAAGGTGTATGTCTGGAGTGCGGTGCTTTACGGGTGCGAAACAGGGACGGTGAGCGGGGCAAAAGGAATGGTTAGAAGCGTTTAATGAGGAGTATACCGTAGATAGAAAAGGTTAGAAATGAAGAGGTATTAAAAAGAATAGGAGAACAGAAGATTTCTATGGAAGTAAATAAAAAATAGGCGAGATAGGTTAGTAAGATGCCTTCTTAGGCATGAAGGGCTAGTCAGAGACATATTAGAGGCAGAAAGAGGAGTAGAGGTACACATAGATTAGGTTACTGTTCATAAATGGTTAAGGATGTGGGATGTTCTAGTTTTAGGGAAATGCGAAGACTAGCTCAGGATATGCAAGAGTGGAGGTGCGTGTCCAAACGGTCTTAGGATGGACAACCTTATGATGATAATGTTAAGTATACTTCATTTACTTTCTCTAGCGATGAGCCCCTACCAATGTCTTGGATGCGCGCTGGCAAAATCGTAGGTAGGGAGAAAAAAGCTCATTATACTCTCGATTCTTGTTCATTAAACATATATACTTTTTCATACAGTACCTGCCGAAAGTTTTGTTCAATCATGAATAGTAGTGCGGGTCGAAAACAAGCGTTAAAGCCTTTAATATGACTTCAAATATAAATAAACATCTCGTTGATATTTTCAGTAGTAAATGGTACCAATAACAGCACATTTGAGCAATGCAATTGTAGTGGATAAAATGGTCAATTTTTCCATGCAGTACTGTACGGATTATACGCTCCTCACCGGTTAAGAATTTGGCCGAGAGTTGTCTCCTTCCTTTTCTGGCCTAGTATTGTTCATTTCTACTTTGCGCCGGTCACATCGCTACAGAAAGTAAACGGAGTATAGTTTGGTATTGAAATTATAATACTAAATAATGAGTTTGCACTCCCGCGCCTCCAGACTTGATACACACATTTTGGAGACTAACAGGGTAGGACGAACCTAAACCCCGTGCCGTTATAGAACCCAGCTCACACCAAGCAAGTACGTACTATAGGCATCACCGGAGATATCTGCGTCTCTCCTGACAATACTGGGATTAGCAGATCCGTGGCCTCAACTACAGGAGCTTATTAAACACCATGGCCATAATAATGTGTTAACAAAAATATTTCTCGAGAACAGTACACAATATAAATATATACGTATCTACATTAAATATGTGAACACGTTAATAAACCAATAATTTACTACCCAAATTATCTAGGCATAATAAATGCACATGCAACGCAACGCATTGCTCGCCTCTGCCCCCGCACCATATACACATAATCTGTCACCTTCATGTTCTTATTTGGTTCCTTCCTTGGTCTTTTGTCACCCTAGCCAAAACACAAATAAAAACAAATGGGATACCAGCCGCCAGCCTATCGACGTTAAATAGAATATTCAAAAGAAGCAAACACTGAGTATAATTTTGATATTCTCCTTTCAATTTACATTTCGTACCTTACGGTACTGACCTTCTTCTTTTTTCTCGCAGTTAATTTAATTTTGAGTTTTATCACGAAAGTTTTATGGAAACTTGTATAAGGCGCACGAATCTCATGCTTTCATGCTCATGCACCAGTTTGGAGACCATACGTTGATGTCAACCCAGCACCTAACCGATGAAATTATGGATATTTGTCACGGAATCATGAACTTATGCGATTCTAACATTATTAGTATTTTCCAGTAACCGTTTTTCTTGTTTCCCTTTTGATAAAAACAATCCCAGAATTGTTTGTTATTCATTAGAGATTTCTATATTAAAATTGTTGTGTACATGGTTGTGAAAACGCATAAATTACGGATTACGGTATGGTAAGTAACAAGTAATACTGAACTTCGACCGGTTCGGGCTTGTTTCTGTTTACCATTCTGATGTACTAACCGTCCATGACTTTCTTTTGAATCTCAATATGGAATCAAACAGGTTGTGGATGTCACGTATGCTTGTTTATTTTGATCCAGTAACCTTTCGGTGGTACCAAAATAGTAATATATGTATGAAAAATGACGAACATCGGAGTTGTTATCCAAAACAGAAGGCGTTAATGAAGCCGTAAAATATTACCGTATGATGAAGCTTGTAATTATTAAAACTCATTGTTTTTTGTTTATTATTTATCAGATTATGAACGATTCCGTATGTTTTACATACAATAAAGTTTTGTGCACGCTTTAGGTCATTACTGTGTAGTTTAACTTTAGTGTCTTTTGAATAATTATTAATAAAAAATAAGAATAAAACACTATTTAAACGATTAACAAAATTTATTTACTTATCAACAAAACACAACCTGAAACAAACGGATGAAGAAATACAATACAATAGACAAGACACGCAAAGAAATCCAGCAATAGAAATAACAATGTAGAACATGAAAAGAGAATTTACTAAATTTAGAAACAATCTGGGCGAGACTGCCAGTCTGTCGAAAGTAGAGAATACAAATGAATGACTTAATAGGAAACTTTTGGGTGTTTCATTCCCACCAGCCACTAATGCTGGTGAGCGGGCAGCCTCCGGACTACGTCGGAAGGTAGGGTGGAAGAACCTCTTCAGCCTCCTTTCCGGAATCGTGGGAATTGGTGGCTGGTAGTTCGGGTGAGAAAGATGAGACGGACAAATGCAGACAGAAGAGAATGAATGATTATCTGTGGAATATTATTGCCCGAGCATTTGCCTAAGTGATCCAAAGAAACCATAGAAAAAAAAATCAAGGGAAAACCAGCTATAAGTAAGGGGTGCATACAAGAACGGTTGAAATTGTATTTCTAGGTAAAGGTGATTTGGAACAATAGAATAGAGGTAGAAAGGAAACAAAAGCATGCAAAAGATAAGAAGTTGAAATCTACATTCAAGAAATATTTAATGTTGTAAGAGAAATAAATTTAGGGTAAAGGTCTAGATGATGGCCCCCACCCCCTTCGGGGGTGGAGATGGGGAGGATCGAAGGAGGAGGTCTCCCCCACCATTGTACCATAAAAAGTTCGTGGCGGTCTCACCCCCATAAAAAGTTATGGGGGGTTCAAAGTTAATAAATATGCCAATTTTTATACATTTTTAGGCATGTAGATATTTATATAGTCATTCTTAAACAATATTCAAAGGTAAAACTAATGGAAAAATACATAAAAGTATTGAGAAAGTTATATAAAACATTATTTAAATATCTTTATCAATAGGGTAGGTTAGGTTAGGTTA